TTCTGTCAATTATTCTGAATGATGAAATATTGCAAATATGGCATTTTTTGAGCTATAAAGTCATATTTATTTCTTTGGAGAAGAGATAAAAAGGTGATTAGAGGAATTATAGTTACGCTTAAGAGCGATAATGGCATAATTATAATGAACTTAATGAGTGGCAAATGAACTGCATATTATGACAGAAATTTCAATTAGCTAATTAGACAAAAAATTAAGCCAGCATGAATGCCAGATTACTATTCAGCGCGAAAAATCTGTAGATTTAAAAGAGTTTTGAGATTAATAATAGACGCAAATTAAAGATAACCAAACTATCAATGAATAAGGCCTATAAATTAACCTTAGATAGAGAGGTACAGAAAAGCCAAGAGTACAAAAGAGTAAGAAGATTGTTTCCCGAAAGGCAGTATATATGTTTTTTTTCAAATGAATTTAGTGCAATGAAACGTAATAGGCAGTTGGAAGATGTAATTTATTCTTACATGTTGTCAGGACTCATCTGCTCTGTAGCGACCAGGTCAAATCTAAATGGCCGTCGCCAACGACCAGCGAGGAGCCCAACTTTTGAAGGCAAAGCCGATTCCATCGGTTCAGTGGACGGGGCAACAAACACCTGGTCAACAAGTAGTTGCAGAACATTCAACCAATCGGTGGCGGCGTCTGCGAGAGGAAGAAGGAGATGGCGGCGCACTAAAGTTGTCAAGCCTACGGGAGCCATCACACCTGTGACCGACGCAGTTTGTATAGGGGATTTGGTTGTTTCCCTACAGGCGGCAGAAGACCCTTCGGTATTGGGGCCAAGAGGCAGGGAGAAAAGGCAGGTAAGCAACTGGAACACATCGGACCAGAGACGAGACATCAAATTGGCTGGAGCTGAAATGTATAGAGAACAGGAGAGATATTATTCGAATTAATAAAAAAACAATGTTAAATTAAAGGCACACGAACCTCTAAAAATATCGATGATTAGAAATTATAACTCTCAAAAATCTCATTTACTAGTGAAAATATACAAATGATTTTACGTATAAAACGACAGGGTGGATTTACCTACATCAAATTGAAAACGAGGCACATATATGTCTATATTTTCAATCTCAAAGGCAGTCAAAGGAAGCCACTTTCAAAGGCGTATGGATTCACAAATATTAGCGATGAATATGCTTCGCTAGTATAAGGAATAAGATATCTAGTCACTCAAAGTCG